ACCCCAAGATACTTGAACTCCTCCACTTGAGGCAGGAACTCTCCACCAACCTGAAGGGAACAAGCCACCCTTTTCCAACTGAGAACCATGGCCTCGGATTTGGAGGTGCTGATTCTCATCCCAGCTGCTTCACACTTGGCTGCAAACCGCCCCAGTGCACGCTGGAGGTCCTGGTTTGATGGAGCCAACAGGACGTCATCTGCAAAAAGCAGAGACGAGATCCTGTGGTCCCAAAACCGGACTCCCTCTGGCCCCTGGCTGCACCTAGAAATTCGGGACTTCATTGTTCTACTGGGGGACTTCAACACTCACGTGGGCAGCGACAGTGATACCTTGTCTGACTAATAGACAGGGAAAATTAATATGGACTGGTGACAGCTACAAGGCAGCTGTCAGAAAATGCATTTCCAGCTCCTGTGAGCATGCCCCACTCCCAACACACACACACCCATATAGTCAGACAACCAAAGACCCTGTATCAATCACAGTTCGCATTCCTCAGCTCTGCTCGCCTGTACACATGAATTTATGTGCACAGATGTTCTCACACACACACACACTTCTGATGACCAAAATCCACGTCCATTCCTCCCTTCACTTATTAGATACCCATATGTTAATTATGTGTTAATTACTCCCACTGAAACTTTTATGCAAAAGGAAATAACAGTTTGAAAGGGTGTAATTTTAGAAGCAAGGCCATCCCCTATTGGGTCAGGAGGCAGACTGTTGACTGGTGTGGACGAGACTCATCTGGACCTCATTTTGGAGAACTGGCTGAATAGTTAGACACTGTAGCAGGTTGGCTAAACAAAGCTATGAAACAGTCTGTCAGTGAAGAATGCAGCAGTGTGGAAGTCAAGTGGTAACAGTTATTTTGCCTCATTCGTTTATTTGGACAAGATGTAGCTATCTGAACATTGACTGATTTGCTGTCAAACCTCTATACATATAATTTGAACATGTCTTGCTTTGGTGGACCCCCAGTCCTAGCATAAAAAAGCCAAAACGATGAAAGATCAAAACAGCAACATGGTTGTGTAATTGTCCTACAAGCTAAAATTCAGAATAACCTAAAAGTTGCTGTTATCTAGTGGTGGAAGATATGTTGTGTTCAAAATCGCTCCAAATTTGCTTTTTATGTATCCAGTTTATGAGGCCTTCAAAAAAAATTCCACAGTGAAACAGAGAAGTCCTGTGTTAATGTTTTAGCTGCACTATGTTGTAGTGAGACGAGATAGAACTAATTCTGACTAATCATTGGAGAGTTAAATCATTTTCTAATAGTTTTTATATGATAATGTGCTTTGAATTTAAAATCCTAATCTGTAAAGTAAGTTCAGTTTAAAATAAATGCAGTGAAGTAAAAGGTTCCCTCTAAAATATAGTAGAGCAAAAGAAGTAGCATAAAATGGAAGTAGTACAAGTAGGCCTACTACAAAACTAAACTTATGTACAGTACTCAAGTAAATGTAAAGTATTCAGAAAGTGATTTTAAAAAGACAATTAAAAACACTTCCAAATTGTAAGCATCTTTTAGTTAAAAGGTGCCATTTTTTATAACAAATTTTTGACAAAGTTGACCCCCAGTTTTCCATTTAAATACTGGTGAATCCAGATTCCCAAACAAGGTACAGTATCAGTTTACATTTTGAAATTCAGTTGTAAATAAATGTTTTCTGTTCTGCTTCTGGCAGGGTTCAGCTTTTGTTTACAATCTGTCACTGACCCTCCTAGCCACCAAAAACAAAATAATACAAGCAGTAAGTAGAAAGCTACCACATCTCTGTTGGGAAGCAAATGACAGTGTTCTCTAATGAAAATTCACTTTAGTTTATGGTCACTACCGTGCCCTTTCGAAAGAAATGAGATATGAGACAGTGAGGACAGGAAAGGAAAGAGTAAGGCAGGGAGGGACGGTCAGGCGAAGACATGCCTAGACTGGATATCAAAAGATGTAAATCCCTATCCCGGCACTCTGAGGCTTTAGCACTAAAGCAAAGAGAGAGAACGAAGAGGAGAGAAAGAGAATCTTAACGTCATGTTGGACAAATTGAGACAAACCTTTTGCCAGATACAAATATGTCAAGGGCTGGTATGTGTCCGTCAATTACAATAATAAATGTGTCTGCTTATCATTACCCTCCCCTCTCTCTGTCGTCATCATCATCATCATTCTCTTAGTCAATATCTGTGCAGGTGTTATACATGCAGAGGTAGCGGAGGAATGCGAAAATTCTTGCATAAAGATAAAATACTGTGTCTTTTGATGGAAGCACAGAATAGACAGGGAGATGTGTACTAAAAACAATGGGGAGTTTGCTGTTGTACAGTAGTTTGGCTGTTGATGTGGCTCCCCATTATTTTTTCAGAAATAGTTCTCAGTCATAACTCTCAAATCTGAATGAATTTGAGTACAATATTTTTCTATGAAATGTAGTGAAGTTGAAGTGTGAAGTAGCAGAAAATGAAAATACTCAAGTACGGATACCTGAAAAATGTATTTAAGTGCACAGTAGTTGAGCAAAGTACGTAGTTACTTTCCACCTCTGGTTAAGTGGCAGAAGACCTGCCCATGTCACACAAATTCAACATCACTGTAGAAAGCAGTCATACATTCAGCAAGTCTAGGGATAAAGGCATTTAGGTTCTAAGAAAGCACACACATATGTGGATTATGTATTGTGTATCTCATGAAATCAAAAGCACTTAGTGAGGGTCCTCAGAGGAACAGTAACACAAACATATGTAGGAGTTTCAGCTCTGTTTGCAGGTGCTATAGATGTGGATAAATTCCAGTAACATTTGTGGATTTCTCCATTTGAGGAATGTTAAACATGCAGACTGTAACCATAGTTTCCCATTCGCCTAAAAGCTTTACTCCCCTGAAATATAGTGAATAGTGAGTGCACTCAGATAAAACCAGCCCCAATCTAAATGACACACCAGATAGCACTAAAGGCAAAAGAAAACTCTCTGACGAGACCAGCTAAGTCTAGACAGGTGTTTTGTCTTGGTGTACACAAGCAAAATCGAAGTACAACCATACCTAGACGATCACACACATTATGGTACATGGCCTAGATTTTTGGGATTGTAAAAGAAAGAAAAATATCACAGAAATGATACAAGTTTACAATAGAAAGACAAGCACCTGTGTAAAAAAAAATTACATCCGGCCCACAAGATCATTTTATATATCTTTTTTTTAATGGCCCGGCAATATGAAGCACTGATAACACACAACCTACAAATCCCGTAATGCAGCGCAACAGCTGCCTTACCGAACGATAGGCTACCTGCGATCATTCCCAC